GGAGAAAGATGAGGCTCTACTCCCGTAAAGAATTACAGTCTCACAGGGGCAGTTCCGCCTTGTCCCATAGGGTGGCTTTGAGCCAGCATCCGCTTGATGGCAGTGAGTTTTTGTTTCTCTAGAACATGAGAATAGTCTTGGTTTATACTCTGCCCTTTGGTGGGGTGTTGGGCTAGGGAATGGACCATGATGGGGTTGAAGGGGTGACCTTGGGCCCTTTCCAGGTAGTTCAGGACTCAGCATCTGTTTGGGGTGAGGAAGCCTTCTCTCAGGGCGCTCAGGGTTGGTGTGGGGAGGACGGTTTGTGTAGGTCTGTCTGTGTGGCAGGAGGTGTTGGGCTGTGATTCTCACTCTTCTGGACCATTGGCTGGGTGCACTAGGTAAACTTTGGCGGCCCTGAGGTTTATGGGCCTCTTGAAGGGCCCAGCTGGGGGAATTTTCCATTCAGCAGTCCTGCTTTACCACACGTGTAGCTCTCCACCCAGGCACAGTGACAGGCCTGGCCCCTGGCTGGCTGGGTCGTGGGGAGGGGCAAGAAGCCTGGGGCCGGGGCTGCCTGTCCCTGCCCCCCCTACCCCCCTCCTACCACTGACTGCCTCCTGGCAGATAAGGCCTCTCCAGGCTTGGCTTCTCACCCAACCCCTCCCCCGTGCCCCAGGTGTCTCCCCAGAGTGTCATTAGCCCTCCCTGGGCAGGAAGTGTTGATGAGGAAGGACAGAACCCTGAGCTATGAGCTGTCAGTGGCCCAGAGCATGGAGGGGGTGGGGGCAGGGAAGCAGGAGATGAGGTCAGAGGCCACCCAAGCCACAAGGTCAGCGGTTCAAACACAGCAAGCCACCCTGTGGGAGAAATATGAGGCTCTCTCCTTGGTAACGATGTGCATCCCTGGGTTTTCCTTCAGGATCTACTCAGTGGCAGTGGGGTTGGCTTGGGTTCAGAGCAGAGAGAGCATTCTGCTTTACGCTTGGAGCCCAGAGAGGCTCAGAGGCTGGGGCAAGAACGGACTCCTCCCAGTCTTGTGTTTGGGGTCCTGCCCAGCAGCCCGCGATGGACCTGAGGGACACTTTGGGTCACAGTGAGCCCCAAAGATGCTCCATAGCCAGGCCCCTGCCAGAGGCCCTAGGGACAGTGGCCCTGCTGAGCCTGGGAAGGCAGGGCCAGCACGATGGGCTCCTGTCCCCCTCTGGGGACAGGCACTCCATCCCTGCCCAGGGCCCAGAGCACTGCTACACCTTCCGCCTTCTCCCAGTTGCCAGCCAGCAGCCAGCCGCCGAGGCCTCATTAGGTGACCGTGTCTCCAGCTGTGCCGCTGCAGTGTGCTAGAAGGTGGGTTGACATCATAGCCTGTCCCGGGTCCCTGGGGGCCAGCCAAGGGCCAAGAGGAAGAGCAGGCTCTCATGGGAGTGGCCCCCCACTCTGCCCCATTCTCTGCCTGGCTCCCTGAGGAACAAGAAGACTCAGCACCCCTGGGCCCATACCTCACTGGGGGCAGCTGCCATGGACCTGCTGCTCTTCTGCCCAGTCACAGGGTCTCCGCTGGGGACAGGCAACATCAGAACTGAGGCCCAGCTGGCACCCAGCCAAAGTCATCCTGCTCACCGGGGTGGGGGTGGGGGTGGGGGCTAGAGGACGAAGGTGCAGCTGAGGAAACCCAGGGGACCCCTCCACCCCAAGTATCTCCCCCGGCTGCCACCCCAGGGCCTGCTGGCACCAGCCCCGGCCAGTGCTCTCGGATTTCTGGCGGCCTTGGCGGGCATCCTGGGTTGTCTGGAGGGTTCCGGCTGTGGCATCCAGCCACTGTGGGAGCAGCGACTAGCATGAGGGTTGGGCTTGCTCTGCTGTGCCTTACTGCTTCCTCCTTCCTCAGGGCCAGGTGGAGGTCGCAGAAGCGCCCCCACCCGCCGATCTCACGTGGGTCCTTGTACCAACCTGCCCCAATAGGCAGGAGGCAAAGGCGCTCTTGCCAGCCCCCCTTCCCCAGCCTCCTGTCTGTCAGCTCACTGAGCGAAGTGGAGAGGGAGTGTCAGTCACACCGTCCAGGTTCTGGCCACTGCCTCTCCGCGCCTCTCTTTCTCTCCCCACAGCACAACACCGCCAGCAGCTCCGCCATGGACAGGTGGTTCCCAGGTGAGTACCCCGGGCAGGCACTGCCCCTCCCTGCCTTCTCAGGATCTGAGGTGGGGTCCATCCCCTCACCGAGCAGGAATGGGATGGGCAGGATTTCCAGGCAAGGGTATCATAGATTGGAGTCGTGTGTGTGTGTGTGTGTGTGTGTGTGTGTGTGTGTGTGTGCAGAGCATCTCTGAGGCTGCAGGGAGGAAGCAACCAAGGTACAGCCTCCTTAACGCTCTGTGTGTCTACCCCTCCCCACCTCTCTGCGAGAACCCCGAGGCCAGACTGCTAGGGTCTGGTCTGGGTGCCCCCAGCTCCTAGCTGCCTGACCTCAGATGCGTGATCTAAGTTCTCTCTGCCTCGGTTTCTGCATTTATTCAGTGGGAATGATAAAGATGCTATACTGGCTAGAGTTGTTCTGGGGTGGAAGGATTCTTATCACGTGCTTGAAGTAGTGTCTTACACTTAAAGAGTTTAAAAATGGAGCTGCCAATGTGCTTTTCCTGTTTCTCCTTTTCCTGTCTATCTGTCTATCTATCTATCTATCTATCTATCTATCTATCTATCTATCTATCTATCTATCTATCTATCTATCTACTTATCCTTGAGCCAAGTCATTTATCTAACTTTCCACCTGTTTTTATAGCCCTCGTCCTTTGAGAAAAGCTAGAAAGTGGCTTACCACAATCGGCAATGTACACACAAGCAACAATATTGTTGTTAGGCTCGGTTGAGTTCTCTCTGCCTCATCGGGACGCCTTGTACAACTGAACAGAAATATCGCCGCCGTCCTGTGTTTAAGCGGTTTGCTGCGTCTGCTCTCTCCACTTCTTCACCTTCGCCAAACGCAAGGCGCTTTTCCAGGGCCTGGCTCCTCCTGTAACATGTCCAAAGTAAGGTGAGACCCGGTCTCGCCGTCCGCACTCGTAAGGCACCTCCTGGCTGCTGCTCCTCTGAGACAGATTTGTCTGTCCTTCTGGCAGCCCGTAGTCCTCCTGCTTCTCTGAGACACCAAGGCGAGGGAGGACAGAGGCTGCAAGGACGTGCTCTCCTGTGTGGGGAGCTGCAGTGGTTGGTTGTCGCGGGAGTCCTGAGGACCTGGACGTTCTAGCTCGGGCCTTGCCACTGTCAGTCTCAGGCAAGTCCCTTCCCCCCCTGCCCTACTACTTTTTCCCTGCCTGCCCAGCAAGGACCACAGCAGTGCCCCGCTACTTCCAGGAGCTGTTTGGGGAAGCAAGCGCTCAGCCTTTCTTTCTTTATCTGTGAAATGGAATGAGCCCGGGCCCAGTGAGACGTGCGGGCACAGCTGACCCTCCAGAGAGAGCCTGGCCGCTGGTAACCCCTTGCTGAGGCTAACGCCCGACTCCTGCCATCCAGTGCGTTCTGACTCACCGCGGCCCTCTGAGACCGATAGGGCCGCCGCTGTGGGTTCGGAGACTGCCGGTCTGTAGAGGAGTGGAGAGTCACATCTTTCTCTCGAGGAGCGGCTGGTGGCTTTACTGCTGCCCTTGAAGTTAGGAGCCCAGTGCATCTCCTGTGATAGATGCAGGAATCCATAAGCCCTTGTCGCTGAAAGCAGAAGAAAGCTGAGCTGCTGGGGAGGGCCTTGGCCGCCTGGCTCTCATCTCCCCTCCAGGGCACTGGCCCCAAGAGCTACATCAGAACAAAAGGCTATTTCTCCAACAAGCCCCCTCCCCAACTCCCACAGAGACACACGCAGCAATAATAATGACTTCAACTAATTGTTCTCAATGCGTTCTGTGAGCCAGGCCCTCATGGTGTGCCCTTTCCGCAAATAACCTCGTTCCCTCCTCACCCTCCCCAGTGGCTGTTCGGATGCCCGTTTCACAGGAGAGGAAGCAGAGCCACACAGAGGCTAAGTAACCGGAGTCAGGCCATGTGACCCACGAGTGGAAGGCCCAGGGTGTGAATCCAAGGGCCGGGTCCCTGCCACTGCTTGATGGGGGCTTGGAAGGACTCTGTGGGCATAGACCATTGGCCTTGGCCTTTGGGTGACTGCTGGGCATTAGCTTCAGTGGAGGCCAATTCAGTGGGCCACAGCTCCCTGGGGTCCCCTAGCACCTTCCAGCATTGGGCACAGCGTCCCTGCGGTAAAGGAAGCTGCCGAACCTGTTCCTCGAAGCTAGGGCCCTAGGGGTCGTCCTCCAGTCCCCCTCCGTCTGTGTGACCTTTGTGCCTGAGATGGCTCGCCTCTTCCACGGGAACAATGAGTTAGGGACGCATTCCCATTCCCAGAGTGCTTTGTCACCCAAGAAAGCATGGCATTCTGCAGATGGCTAAGACCCGGTCCCTTCCTTTGGGAGCACCAGACCCCAGGGAAAGCCGCCAGGAAGGAACTCAGAGCAGGGCCTACTTGGCAGCCGGAGCCACTGGTCAGGGATGACCGGAGCCTTTCCGGCAGAGGTGTGAGCCGGCCGATGAGCACAGAAGATAAGAGACGGTGTTCCGGGGTAAGCAACCGACTGAGGTGTGAACCTGTGGGGTGTGCCAGGGGTCCGTGAGTGATGTCAGGGACCTAACTTCAGTGCTGTGCACACCCGGCTTCAGGAGATGAGCAGCTGATAGAGCCTGGGGCCTGGGTCCCAGGTGGGTGGAGCTGAAAATGTTGGAATTTTCACAAGGCTCTTCGGCTGCCTTGCTCCTTGGCTGGTGGAAGAAAGCTACTGTGGCCTGCCCATCCCCGCTTTTCTCTCTGGAAATTTCCTTTGGGAGGGTTTGGAAAGTGCATCGGCTCCTCCACCCCCCCACCCCACCCCCCCACCCCCCGTCATGCTGAGCTGGGAAGCCCTCCATCCAGGGAGCTTTTCTTGTGACCAGGGTAAATATTACCTGGCACTGTGAATGTTTAATGCCCCGTCTCACCCCAGCCACCCCGGCCAGCCACTCCCTGGGAGCAGAGGCAGCAGGAGGAAGCTGGCAGAGAAGAGGCAGCTGGGGAGATGGCAGGGTTGTCCTCTGAGATTGGTGAGTGTGGGTGCCTTTGTGTGAGGCAGGGGATTGCTCCTGCATGACTCCCACTCCCCAAGGATTCAGCCAACTCCCCTAGCACCCCTGTCTTCCACAGACCCAGCTGCCTATCTAGAAAATTTGCATTTTAAAGTAAGACTTTGCCTTAAATACAAAGAGGTGCTGCTTGGATGGTAGGACTTCTGTCACCAGGCAGAAGCTGGCTCTGGGGACAATGGCTCTGCTGGGCTGTCTGAGCTTTGAGCAGGAGGTAGACGGGCCAGCAAGGGAGGAGGCCCCCTCCCCTCCAGTTCAGGATGCACTCCCAGGGGCATTCTGGGATTCTGGGAGGGGTGAGACTGAACCATCGGCTGAGGGCAGTGGGTCTGGATTGATCTAGAAAACTTGAGGCAAAGTTCATCAAATGAGTCAAGAGGAGGTGGTCAAGGAGAGGAAGGGGCCTGGTGTGGTGAGGGGACTCTAGCTTGAGTCCAGCCACGGTGCTGGCATTACCACCCACACCCCACACCCCTGCCTGCACCCCCAACCCCCACCTGCACCCCCTACCCTTGCCTGCAACTTTGGACTAGAGCAGAGCGCAATCTGGGGAGGCCGTCTTGACGGGCTCTGCATGGAAGCAGGGGCCTAGGCCCCCCACCTGCTTGGTCTCTGGCCTTCCCCCAGCAACCTGAGGCCCACCAGGACCAGACGCTGGCCCTCTACGGGGGAGCCCCCACCCCTGTCGTGGGTCAGGGGTGCAGCAGGGACTGGGCACAGTTCAACAGAGCCTGCAAGTTGCAGCCTTGCACATTCTTTGGGCCTCCACACGTCTGCCAAGAAGGGGCTTGAGTGGCACAGCAGTGGGGCAGCCCTCCGTCATGCGGATGAGCTGTGCCCTCCAGCTGCCCAAGGGCAAAGGCACTTGGTGGACAGGCTGGGGCAGAGCAGCGGCACCAGATGGGTGCCCAGTGGCTCGCCAGCAGGGAGGGAAAGCTAGAAGAGGCAGAGGGCAGAACCAAGAGACTGTGCCTTGAAATGCCTCTCCCTTGCTGCCAGCTGAGAAGCAGCACAGCAACTGGGTGAGCGCCCAAGTCCTTAGGCCCCCTCACCCAGTTCTGCTGCTTACTAGCTGCGTAATGGCGGGAGAGGTGCTTACCCTCTCTGGACCTGTTTCCTCGTGGGTTCTACTCTCTCAGCCATCGGGCCAGTGGGTTTGCGAGACAGTGACTGTTGACGGGAGTAGAAAGTCCGGTCTTTCTCTCACGGAGCTGCTGTTGGTTTTGAACTGCCGACCATGTGAATCAAAGCCTAGTGCATAACCACTACACCACCAGGGTTATATTGGACTAATGATAATATTGCCTTACAGGGTTGGGATGTTGGTTAAATGAACCACGATTGCATAACGCCTTTAGCCTGGCACTGAACACTGTCCTCACAAACGGCCAAACTCACTGCATCAGGCCGATGCCGGCTCACAGCGAGCCTACAAGACAGGGTAGAACTGCCCCTGTGGGGTTCTGAGACTGTCACTCTTTAAGGACGCAGAAAGCCTCGTCTGTCTCCTAAGCAGGAGCGGGTGGTTTCAAACTGCTGACCTTGCAGTTAGAAGCCCAACACATAACCACTATGCCACCAGGGCTCCCTTCGCACTACAGTAATGTCTGCTAAGTAAGTCTGCTTCCTCCCGAGCAGGGCAGCAGAGGAACACGGAAGGGATCCAGTGACCTGGGTTCGAGACCCAGTTCTGCCTCCAGTTTCCTATGGCGCCTTGGACAAGTCTCCAAACTGGGCCGCCATTTCCTCGCCCCATTCCACCTGAGTCTACGAGTCTTTTTCATTCATTCCACACACGCTCGCTCGGCACCTGTTGATTAGTTCAAGGGGGAGGTTGCTGGCGAATCTAAGTGGAAACCCACCTAGGCCTTGCCTTACTTGGGTTTAAAGCAAGAAGCCCCTCCCAGGCTGCCCACAGCCCCACGGGAAGCACATGACGACTTCTTGAGAAGCCAGCGGCCGTGAGCCTGGGCGCTGCTGGAAGGGGAGACCCAGGCCACTCTGGCTGACCTTCTCCCCCCCCCCCCCCACGGCTCCCTTCTCAGGTGGCAGCTCCAAGGGGGACGAGGACCCATTCCACTACGGTAAGCTTGGGAACCCCATGCTCCCCGTGCACTCCCCGCCCCCCTTGCCTGACTCGGAAGCTCCCAGTGAAGGGCAGGATGGGTGAAGGCAGGGGTCTGCAGGGAGGGCACCAGGAGAGATGACACTTCTTCTGCCTCTCTTCCCAAGACTACGAGACGGTCCGAAAGGGAGGCCTGATCTTCGCTGGGCTGGCCTTCGTCGTGGGGCTCATCATCATCCTCAGTAAGATGGCCCACCTCCGGGTGAAAGGGGGTCTGGGTGAGGGGCATAGCTCTTTTCTTTCTTTCTTTCCTTTTCAATCATTTGATTAGGGGCTCTTACAACTCTTGTTACAATCCATTTATCAATTATATCCGACATATTGGTACAAATATTGCCATTGTTCTTTCCTAGATATTTACTTTCCACTGAGCCTTGGGATCAGCTCCTCCTTTTTTCCCTCCCTCCCCCCACCAACCCTCTTGTCCCCTTGATAGATAGTAGATGGTTATTATTTTCAAATCTCACACGGACTGCTGTCTCCCTTCCCCTCTGGTTTCTGCTGTTCTTCCCCCTGGATGGGGTGGGGTATGTACCATTACCCCACTATCATGACCCCAGTGCTGCTTCCCACACTGGACTAGACGGGAGCATGTAATAGGTATAGGTAGGAGATAAAACTCGTGATACATGGAACCCAGGAACAGAATTGGGAATAGCGACACCAAAAGGGTAGGGGGAAGGGGGCAAGGTCGGGAGGGAGGGCATACCGATCGGATCGAGTGATCGCAGTGAATGGCACACATCTCTTTTCAAAGCCACTAGGCACGAAAGAAGAGAACGTTCTTGGGGCACCAAGTGAGGCTCCCTCTTTTCTGCTGGACTCAGGGCAAGTGACCCAGCTGGGTGAGCCAGTGTAAACAAAGGCCAGGCAAGGGGGCAAGGTCCGCCCCAGCTGGGGCTGTTCTAGGCTTTAGTTACACCTTAGACCCTTGACTCTGTCAGCTGCATGGAGGGGTGGCCACTACTGGACCATTTTACAGATGAATAAACTGAGACCCACCTTGAGCATGCAACCCAAACAGAAAGACCAAACTGGAGACTCTCAAGTCAGCTCCAGCTCACACGGGGCTTTCAGTGACCGGCCTTCCGAAGTTCATCTCCAGGGACCTTCTTCCAAAGTGCCTGTGGATGGACTCGAACTCCGGTCTCTCGGCTAGCACCAGCCAAGAAAGTATTTCAAGAGGGATCAGGTGTCCCAGAGTCTCAGGACGGTGGTCTTGGGGGACAATTGGCATGGCACAGCCCACACAGTCTTCCACATCCTACTCTGACGAGATGCTGTCAGGTGCCCTTCAGTCAGTTCTGACCCATAGCGCCCCCCTGTGGTCCTGCGCCATCCACTCAAGTGTTCTTATGTTCCAGCCCACTGTTGCATCCCGAGTCAATCCATGGTGTCCAGCGTGCTGCCCCCTCTACTGTACCAAGCACGATGTCCTTCTGCAGGGACTGGTGTCTCCCGACAACATGTAATGGGAATGATATTCTATAGTTTCTAATGGCATTGTTCCATAATTTGAGCACTCTTTGGAGTGGGTAGAAATATGAGTCTCTTCCAGTCAGTTGGCCAGTAACTAGCTGTCTTCCAAGTTCCCAGGCACGGCGCTTCTAGTGCTTGTCAGCTTGTTGAAATATTCCAGTTGGCGTTCCATCAGTTCCTGGAGCCGTGTTTTTGGCTAAGCTTTCAGTGCGGTTTGGCCTTCTTCCTTCAGCACCATTGGTTCTTGCTTGCACACTGCCTCTTGACATGGTCGAAGGTCAACTAGTTCTTTTGGGCACAGTGACTCTGTCGTCTTCATCTTCTTTTGATGCTCCTTGCATCCTTCAATATTTTGCCCAGAGAATCTTTCAATATTGAAGCTCAAGGCTTGACTTTTTCCGTAAACTCTGTCAGATTAAGGTAGGGTGCCTGTGTTCGTCCTTTCAGCTTTCTAACTCCAGGACTCTGGTGAGTCAGGCGAGGGAGCTCACGAGCAGCTAGCTCAGGTGCAATGATGGGCCTCTCCCCGCCGGGAGGAACGACAAGGGGAGGAGCTTGAAAACACGTGGCCCAGGGGACCATGTGAAATTCCGCCTCCAAGACCCCAAGACCCTAAAAACTAGATGGTGCCTGGTTTCCGCTACCAACTGTTCTGAAAGAGGTCAGGTTAGATGATAGCATGGGAGGAGAAGAATGTGGAACAGAATGCAGAATTATTGGGGGGAAAAGGGTGGGGAGTGCGTGGACCAACTTGCTAGTCGGATTAACAAAAAGGGACCAGGCTAACTAGTCGGATGGAAGCCTGGAGACCATGGTCCTCAGTCCCCCGTCAGGACTGGGACTGAATCCAGTGCTGTGGCTTAATCCTCAGCCCAACCCTAACAAAGGACAACATCACACAAGTCCACGCACCTTAGGGTCGTCAGCCATGCGAGATCCAAAGGTCAGATGGGCATGGGAAGAAGGAGGAATGGAAGCAGGAAACACAGGGAGGCAGTGGGATACGCGGTGTTACAACTGTGGACTGCACACCGTGAGCTGCTACATGTGTGCATGACTTGCAGCATGGAAAACCGATGGGCTCTGTAAGCTTTCGCCCAAGTCACAATATAAGGTTTTCTAAAAATAAAACAAGGATCTGGTGTGGACATGGAATGATCTGGGGAAGAGAGGGGACCGTGTATGCCCCACCCTGCCCCCATCAGACACAGCAGGCACCTAATAACTGCATAGGGACTTATTTCAGTAGATCTGGAAGAATATTATGCAGGACCACAACCCGGTATGTGGTGGGGAGGGATCTGTGGGGGGGGGGGGGGGGTAAGTTATACAGCAAACACGACTCCCTGGGGGTACAAATGGCCAACAGACATGACTGCTAATGCAGAGGCGGGGGAACCCCTCCCACGGTGCGTCAGAAGCAAGGCCTGGTGATCTCCCTTTAGAAACCAGCCATGGGGCACCTCAGGGCACACGTAGGGCAGCACACACATGGTTCCGCTCCGACACTGCACATCACAGTGGCATCCAGGTGCTTTGGTCTGTGCACACGGCCGTCTCCCTGACTGGGCTGTAGGGTCCATGGCTGAGCACACCATGACCAGCATGGGAGTTGGGGGGCTGGGCAGAGGACTCGGCTCTGCACCTACCTGCCACCCTTCCCAGAATCCTCAGCAAGCACTTAATGAGCAGCTGCTGGCCATGTGACAGGCCCTGTGCTGGGCATCTCAGGGGCCCAGGCTCAGCCACTGTCATTGTCAGTGTGCTGCCACCGGCTCTGAGATGCCCCAGCCTTCCCTGTGTGAAGAGAAGCACCCTCAAACAGGGGGCCCGGGGCGAGATGAGAGGGTCCGAGTCTCCCTGGGCAGAGAGGGACAGGTCACCAGACTCCTTTTCTCTCTTCAAGGCAAAAGATTCCGTTGCGGGGGCCAGAGGAAGCGACGGTGAGTGCCTGCCTCTTAGAGAGGCTATGGGGGTGGGGAAGGAGGGGGAAGGCCCCTGGAGGCCTTAGGGACACCCCCACCCCACCCCACCCCCGGACTTACCACCTCTACTCCCCCACCCACCAGGCAAGGCAATGAAGACGACCTGTGACTCAGGTAAGTTGGGGGGCGGGGTTGGGCGAGGGAGACATAAGGGGCCTGAATGAAAGTAGCCTCCTGGGAGGGGGGGCAGGGCCACCCCTCCAGCAGCAGGGCCATTTGTCATGTGCTTTTAAATGATTGTGTGTGACGAAGGGGGCTGCAGAGGTATGAGACAAGGAGAGGAACCAAAGAGCCCCTCCCTCTGAGCCCCTCTCAGCCTCCTTTCTCTTCTGTTCTCAAGGTCAGCTCTGCCCACAGAGGCTGGCTGGGAAGCCAAGGATGCCCCCAGCCTGCAGGAAGTGCTCCCTGGGCCAGGGCCCTTGGGCTGGCGACGGTACCAGGTTCCATGGGACCCTGGGGCGGCCACCACCTCCGGCCCAGTCATCCCTATGCTGATAATAAAGCCCTTACAGCCTGTCTCCTGTCTCTTCCTCTGAGAACATCCAGGACCCGCTTCTCCCAATGGGTGTTCAGACAGCCTGGCACCGTGTGTTTGAATGAATCGCCCAGGCACCCATTAGCCTCTGGTCTAGACGCACAAAGTCCTGTGGGTTTCTCCTGACACTCTGGACTGACCAGAGCCTAAACACAGGAAGCCGGTGAAAAAGAGGAGGGCCCTCCCTCGATGAGACAGGTGGACACTGTGGCTGCAACTGTGTGGAGGGCCCTGGGCCGGGCGGCGTCTCATTCTAAGTGGTACAGGGCAGTGATGACTCAGACCCGACCCTAGGGAACCAGGCACCAACAACCAAGGACGGGGCACTCAGCCTGGCTCCCGAGCACCAGGCTGGGAAGTGGGGTCTGAAGAGCTCACAGGTTCCAGGCACCTACCACAGGAGGCTGTGGACAGGCTACACTGCTGCCCCTTCCCCAAGTGCACCGCTTCACACAGTGGGTGGGTCGGGGGCCCATGGCGGAGGCCACTCGGCCAGGACTCCCTCCACCTCCAGACTCTGGCACGGTACCCAAACCACCGACCCCACTGCCGTCCAGTCAGTGCGGACTCATGGGGGCCCTCTGCATTTCAGAGAGCGTAACTCTTCACGGGGAGTGGAAAGCCCAACTTTCTCCCACAGAGCTGCTGGTGGTTTTGAACTGCTGACCATGCGGACCACAGCTCGCACACAGCTGCCTTACGAGCTGCACTGCGAGACAGTACATCTTTGCGGGAAGACACCTCGACTTTCTTCCTTAGAACCGTTGACCTGGTAGCCAACAGCCCAATGCCTATCTCACAGTGCCACCTGGCTCCCTGGGCATAGTACAGATCACCCCCTTTTCACTCTTGGGATCAGGGGACCCCAGTGAACCCACGCTCACTTGTCACATATGTGGGTGCTGCCTAGTCCTAGGTTTGGCTAGTCCTAGGTTTGGGCCATGGAGTGGACCATAGGAGTGAGGCGAGTATTGGGGCTCCTTCGAGTCCCAGTGGGCAGGGACCCTTGCAGAGAAACCTCAGCCCGAGATGGGGTTAGGCGGCCCCTCTTACAGGTACCCGGCTTCCCAGAGCAGGTGGCCGCAGTCCCGGCTGCCTCCTCCCACAAGGAGAATTCTACTTTCAGGCAGGAGCCGTCTTCCGTCTCAGCTCCTTCCCCAGGACTCCTGAGACTAGACAGCAGGATGGTGGGATCACAGCTCCGAGGAGTCTGGGTCTGCAAACCCTAAGGGAGGGGAGGGGAGGGGGGCAGGCAGACCCAGGAACCTAGGACTGCAGCCAATGACTAGACTCGATTACATGGACGAGCATGTGGGGAGATGGTGAGACACACCGCACCTGTGGGTCACCTGGGGAGAGAGGTCACGCTTCCCTGAGTGTGCTGTTCTTAGAGTCCACCAAGCACACGCTCGGGGGTGGGGGTGGGGGAGTCCACCAAGCACACACTCTGGACCGAAGGGTCCTGGGCAAGTCACTTCCCCTCTCCACCCTTGGCTCAGAGTCTTGAGGTGGGCCTGGTCTATTTCTCAAAACGGACACTCAGAGTGCCAGGAATTAGAGGCCGCTCTACAGCTGGAGGGCCACGTCTTACAGAAAGGGAAACTGCGGCTTGTCCAAGGTGGCACATGGAACCTGCATCAGAGCCAGGGCTAGAACCCAGGACTCCTGGTTCCCTCACCAGGCGGGCCGTCCCTGGTCACAGCAGCTCACTGTCGTCTGCACGTCCCCCCACCCACCCTTCCACCACCCTCCACATCCTCCTGAAGCCTTCATCTGAAGCCTGTCCCCACGCACACGCACACACCTGCGTCCGTACTTAGACCCCACACTCTGCCCGTGGGACCAAGGGAGGGCCTGGGGTTGGGGGAGCCGCTTCAGAACCAAGAGTCACGCCGAGAGGAAAGCTAGGCGACTGACAGCTCCGGGCTGGGTTTCTGTGATGCCTGGTTCTGGCATCGTGACGAATTAAACGTGGCGGGTCAACCCCCTAAAAAGAAGGCAGCATTATTTCTGTAGGAGCCCGGGACGCGCACGGTCAGCTGTCTGTGATGGGGTGGAAGTGAGAAGGAGAGGGAGGCCCAGCCGGGGCGGGGGTGGGGCTGGGGGGTGACGGACTCTGGCTGGGAGGCTCGGCCACAGGCAGGGCACGCTGTACCTCTGGGAAACCTGGGAGAAGCAAGAGACAATGGAGAGGCCACCCTTCTAGGTTTTCTTTCCCTAGAGCCCTCCGAGCCGCACTGGGGGGATTCCAGCCCTGGGCAAGGGGTCCTGGACAGTGGGGTTCATAAGGCCACAGACTCTGGAGAATTGGGGGTGCTTTTTGAACACTCCGGTACTCGGGATCCTCTTCAGACTGTTGGGTCTATCTTTAGGTTGGATCACACAAATTGATGCTTAGCAAACTTGCAGGGGGTGCAGGGTGGGGCAGCCAGGAATTGAGAACCCCGATCCGGGTGACCTTCTGAGGTCTGCTGCCTGATCCAGCCCTGCGTGAGTGCTTTCCCTCCCCCTCCAGGAAGACAGAATGCACTGGGACTTCCAGTACGTTCCACTTCACGTTGGAAAAGTCCCCGATTCAGACCTGTCCTGAGCTACCAAGGACAGCCAAGGTTGAGGCATGACGGAACAACCACTTGCAGCAGCAACAAAAACAGCTTTAGCCCCAGGGGGTGTTTTCAATTCCCTTTACTGCCACCAGAGGGAGCGGACCACTTACTGTAAATCACCTCAAGGCTGCCTTGTGGATCTAGCCTTTCCCAAGGCCAGGGACCCTTGGCTAGGAAGAGGAGTCAACTGACTGGTCCGCTCCCTGCTCTGGCTTTCTGGGAACCCTGAATTTTTTCCGTGCTGTTCATCCTCTTCTTATTCTTTTCTTCACCACTTTCAGATTCTATAAAGGCAGAGCTGTGCCAGCGCTGCTCTCCCTCACCTTCCTTTTGCGCTGGAGCTTCCGGGAAGCACCCGCCCTTCCAGGCCCCCTGCACACCTGAGGGAGGGAGAAAACTGCCCGCAGGCTCAGTGGGTGGCATGTCCTGGGTCATCCTGACAGTCAACACTGACATGAAAGCCAAGCTCAGTGCTATCCAGCAGGTCCCAGCCCATAGCGGCCCTCTGTAGGGTTTCGGAGGCTGCAACTCTTTTTAGTCCCCCAGACGGTGAGCTAGAAGCCCACTGAATCCCCGAGACAGCCCTTTGAAGCTGGTGCTCGTCCCACGTCCATTTCACAAATGGGGGACCCGAGGGCCTGAGAGGTTTCATTCGTGGCCCAAACTCACCCCAAGGAAGGCGGCTGAGCAGGCATCCTGATCCCAGAGTACTGACTTTCATCCCTGGAGTCCCCTGGAAGCATTAAGACCAAACGGACGCCTGGTCTCATGTCCAGGACTCGCTCTCATGGGTTTTAAGTGTGGCCTGGTCACTGCTCTCGCTACCCTCCACCTGTCTGCCCATTTGCCCCTGTCCTTTCAAATTCCAGCAGTCACCTCGTACAGGCAGGTGTCCTCGGAGCTTCTAGACTCAGAAAGGAGCGCTGGTACAGTGCGCTCGGTGTAGAGCTGCCAACCCCTGGCCAGCAGTTCAAACCCACTGGTTGCTTTTCAGGATAAAGATGAGGCTGTCTACTCCATGAAGATGTGTGCAGGGGTCATCAAACTTTTTAAACAAGGGGCCAGCTCACTGTCCCTCAAACCCATTGGAGGGCCAGATTATAGTTAAAAAAAACAAAACTAAGAACAAATTCCTATGCACACTGCACATATCTTATTTTGAAGTAAAAAACAAAACGAGGCAAAAACACCCGGCGGGCCGGATAAATGTCCTCGGCGGGCCGCATGTGGCCCACGGGCCGTAGTTTGAGGACCTCTGATGTACAGCCTCACACTCAGTGGGGGGAAACTGAACACAAGAAGCAGATGAGGGAGCCCCTTACCACCCTTCTTACCCAACACTGTGCTGGAAGGCTTCGCCGAACCATTAGATGACGAGAAGGAATCGGGGAGACAACTGGACAAGGAAGACAGGAAGTTCTTGCTGATTGGGAACGGTATGATCGTACAGAGGGAGCACCCCGAGAACACACAAACTCACAGGGACAGTTCCACTCTGGGTCGCTGTGTGCTGGAATGGCCCAATGGCAGGGCTTTCCTTTCTCAGCTAAGCTCGACTGCACACAGCGATGTGGGGGCCGCTTCTGAGAATCAGCCAGTGAGAATAAAAACACTGTGGATCACAAAAGGATATTAGCTGATAGCATGTCAGAAGAGGAGCCCCCAAGATCGGACTCAAGCTCAAACCCAAACTCGCTGCCTTCAACTCGGTTCCGACGCGTAACCACCCGTCTCACAGGGTAGAACCGCCCCTGTGAATTTCCAAGACCGCGACTCTTCTTTACGGGAGTGGAAGGCCTCAGCTTCCCTCCGTGGAGCAGCTGCTGGTTTCGAACTATTGCCCTTGCAGTTCACCGCCTCATGCGTAACCGCTATGCCACCAGGGCTCCCTGAGTCACCTAGGACAGAGGGAAACTGCTCCCTAGTCAGCCTTGAGGGAGCAGACTCCCTCATCTTTCTCCCAGGGAGCAGCTGGTGGGTTCGAATCTGTGGACTCGCAACCCAGCACATCACCACGGTGCCACCAGCTCCTTGAAGGTGGCACAGGACTGGTGGTGCTCTGGATCACCATGAATGAGCCGGCGCTGACAACCCTGACTAACCACGGCAACCACATTAAGCCCCCAAAAGCCCATGGTCATCGAGTCGATTCCCGCTCAGAGCAGCCCGATCGGGACGAAGTAGAACTACTCCGTTTGGTTTCTAAGGCAGGAGCAAACAGCCTCTTCTTTCTGCCCTGGAGGGGTTAGTGGTTTTGAACTGTTGATCTGACAGTAGCCCAACCCGTAACCCACTACGCCACCACCAGGGCTCCACAGCACTAGAGCGGAGCTCCCCCAACTCTGACTTGCACAGGAGTCACTTGGAGTTTCGGG